GCGATGTGCCAATGTGTTTTTCGATTTTTGATTTACATATGTACATTTATCCGACGTTCTTACGGTGAAGGAAAACATCGTGATGCAACCTGCACATATCTGAGAAGAAATTTAAAGATATGTGTGAAGTCAAGGTTGACTATGGCCTAATCAGCCCCTAACATAGGGTAAGCTCCGAGCCTCCCGGTAGGGACGTATAATGAGCTGATGATGATAGCTATATCAGTTTGTCAAACTCAGTTTTTACCAATGGTAAAAAATAAAATAAAAAATCTATTCGAATAACAGAAGAGCCTGTATCTTAGTCATGTTTTTCGACTTAATTGTCGACTTTTAAAAAAGAAATGTAAAAGCATACGATATGTTAAAAGATAACGTAACAAACGGGTTCGATCACGACATTATTATGTAAAAATAATACAATAACAAGCTTCAAACGTAGTGAAAACTAAATAAAGAATATTCGAACTTGTCTAATTTTCAACCAGTTTTCGCTTCTGACGCAATCACATAACTTTTACTTATGAACTTGGATCCGTATGGAGAAAGGTAAGAATCTTTTTACACGCTAACTGATATTCTTTAACGTCCTAATTAAAATTTTAAACACATTTCGTAATTTAATTATGCAATATGGCCGCCAAAAATTCACTTTTCTCATTAAATTATAACAAAAAATTCAACAACATAATTCAATGTTTCCTGATGATTTTCTTACATATGTTTGATATTTATTTCAATTTTATAAAACTTTAACTCACATCGGCGCTGAGGTCTATTCGACTTCATCAAAATTCTTAAATTAATAATCTTATGATTCCATAAATATAGTCATAAAATTGATTTATACAAGAAAATACTAAATTTATTTATAACGCAATACGCAAGTGTAAAAATCACCCTTTATCTATCTTTCACAATCCCTGTCGACAGTACTGATGACAGATAAAAATATAATGAAAATATAAAGATAAATTGATATAGTTAGTAAAAATAATATAACCAAGGAACTATGTCGTTAAAGTTATTCATTAAGCCACATAGCAAAGTACACTATAGTGCCTTTATTCCTTGTCAGCCACTTAGTAGCCGTGATCATGATCCATCTTTCAGAATACCATTGTCAACTTTATTGGGATCTACTAATGATGCATCGTGGCTGGCATTCTAGAAATTTTATTGCTTTTATTAAGCGTAACTATCCTATCAGTTCTTCATCTTCAGGTGACCAATATTATAGGTATTAAACATCAATCAAAGCCCTAGAAAACACTGGATACCTTCTGATTTGATGACTCTATGCATTTGGATTCATATTATGCGCTATAAAATTAATGGAATTTCTCCAGAAAGTTCTATACAATCTTTTCTCTATGTGCATAAAAATTAAATAGCAAAATGAAAGCGCACAAATTTGTCTATAGTCGTTTGAAAATGTTTCATAATATGTTTCCTTTTTTCATTTATTTAATTGAGTAATAAAATATATTTCGCATTGGAAGATATAAGCTATTTTGAATGTACCCGCAAATCTTAAAGTATAAAATTAAAAACAGTTGTTTGTCATGTTAAATTTCAAAATTATTAATTAAAATATCCTACATTTGTTACGTGTGTTTTAACATTAAATATTTACCTCATGATCAGTACATAAATAAAACTAATAAAATATTATTTAAATTAACAATCTGAATGAACTTACCATAATAGAGCTCCAAAATAAACAATCCAGGATTAAGTTTTATTTCTCGAAATTATAGTATAAAATAAAACTTTTCATCAAAACAATAATTCAGATTAAAACTTTTTTTCACGGTCTATCACAAATGACACATCACAAATTAAATTCCCGCGTTAAAAAATGAGAACGCGCGGGAGCTTCGAATGACAGTTGTTTTTTTAAATCGCGTGACAAAGGTATGTGAGATGTGGAGCCGTGAGCCGTGCGTTTCGGATGCGTGCTATGCATACGCCGGACGATGGTCAACTGTGGAAGAAACTGCGCGCATAGACGTTTTGCGATTGCGATGCAGTTGTTTTGAACTCGAACAAACGTAATTGTAACACATGCCGATAAAGTTGCGATTTATTTTCTATACAACTTAATTTGTACGGATTGACAATTAAAATAATAAAATTTAGATAAATATAAAAACTTATTGTTGTAGGTTTACTGAAATTTTGATATTTTAATTAATTCACTTGTGTATTAAATGGTCGAGATTTATTTTAAGTTTTAATGTGAAATTTAATATTAGTTCATGATTCTTTTAGATAATGTTACTTTCCAATGAAGTAATAATTATTCCTAGATCCTTTATAGGATTCGTGTAGGTTTTATAAATTTTAAAATACTATAATACTATATTCAAATTTTATTTATAAAATAATCGACGTACAACAAATTTTGTTGTAAATTTCAGTTATGGCTGTATGACACCTACTCGTTGCTTCTGTTAGTGATATAAAAAAAAATAATTATTCAGTGAAAGTGCGCGCTTCTTTTAAAAATTTTAATTTTGGACATAAACGTTTATTGCTCATCCGTTTATCATTCTTTGTATTTTTAAAGCTTTCACTTTGAATATTGAGAGCTTTTTGAATTTGCTGTATCATGCAAAGTTCTAACAATCACTAATACTTCGATCAGCTAAATATTAATTCATCATCATCATAATAATCAGCCTAGATTTATTCACTGCTGGACGTAGACCTCCCCCATTGGTTGCCACAATGCCCGGTCCTGTGCGGCCCGCATCCGTAATATTAATTGTCTAAACATCATGACGTGTCATTTGTTTTCTCAGTCTCCAAACATGTCCTAAAGTGTACTAAAATCTATTTTTTTTAAATCTAAAGCTTAGATTTTATATTCTACGACTCAGCTAGTATATTTTTTCATATTTATTTTTCTTCTTATTTATAATATAATATAAGACAAAATATGAACAGAACTTAAATTTAAATTATATTGTCTGTGTCGTACAAATACGATGACTTAATTTAGAATACGATATCGTCTCAAGGCGGTCTATCACGAATATTTGCGATATACATTTTTGTACCATCATTGACAAAATATGTATTAGTTTTGTCGTTGTAAGCTACGCCTGATAGCATAACTGTACAAAGCGATGTGATGATGTTACTAATGCTTTCTAGTAAATTTTCGTGCTAGGCCCTCCATTATCTGTCTTGAAGCGTATTGTACTTTTGACACCTAATAGTAAATATTGCGAAATATATCAAATCAAAGAAATATCGATACTCTTAAATTAGTAAATTTAAAATTAATAAAAGCAAAAAAACAGATAGAGTAAAAAGGAACAGAAAAAACCATTTCAATAACGTTATACGCAACTAGCAGTTACTCGCGACCTCGTCCGTTCGATATTTCAAAAAAATGTAGATATAAATATAAGCTATTTCTCCCGGGGATGTGTAGCTTCTCAAAATTGAAAGAATTTTTCAAGTACGTTCAGTAGTTTCGGTGCCTATTCATTGCAACTTCATGGCTTTATTATGAATTAATCAAATAATTTAAGTGTAATTTAAAGATTGTCTTAGAAAGAATACTATAGAAATGCTGGAATTACTAACAAATCGTATCTATTTGAACCATTCATAACCTCGTATGCAAGAAATATATGTTTACATTACAATATATAAATATTTATATAATTTAAGGTTACATTCTTGAAAATCTCGAACTTCAAAAATGTATAGAACTAACAATAACATTCGATAAGTCACGTGATTGTCGTGAGACAGTTTGCTGATTCGCTTCGAAGTGAACGCTCTTTGTTTAGCACCCCAGGTATTTTGTTAGTGGAAATACACCTTAAGCACGAATAGTTCAACTTTCAAACATTTAAAAACATAAACAGAAAGCAAGTGAACTCAGTTCACTAGAAAGCGTCTATTTGGTACTGAGCCAAAAAAGTGCGTGTTTTCAACACACGCATTTAATTGCATTTTCATCACGCACTCGCAATAGATAAGGAAAAAATTTCACACCAAGTCTATACATACAAAAGGTATGATATGACAGTTAACTTATTAATATTTATAAGGACCTAGAGTACATGAAACCTTTCTATAGTAAGATACGCACTAGACTCCAGTAGGATTCCAGTAGTCCCGACCGGGGTGTGCGAAGAATATTCATATATAACACCACGGTAAACAGTGAGTCGAGGGAACCAGAGGGGGTTTAGTGGATAGGCTCCATGACCCTTTCCCTCTAGGGCAAGGTGTGGAGAGAGTCCCACATAACTGGAGTGTCGTTCCCCGAGGCACTCGGAATGCGTAACGCATTCAACCTTTTTAAAAATGATACCAGTAGTCATTCCCTTTCTATACTTTAATGCTAGTAACAATGGTCTTATTTATGAGAACCAATAGAATTTAATTTTTGCAATTAAGTACTACTTAAATTCATATCAATCATAAAATGTATCAGATTACATTATTTATAGATACGATCTAGTATTATTTCTATATCACTAGTAGTCATGAGTAACACAACTAAAATTGAAGATCTGCAGATCGAGTCACAATTCACATTTTAAAGCAGATCAGTGTACCGACTCATCATGGCTGGCGTGGCGATCTTTGGGGGAGGTCTATGCCCACCAGATGGCGACTCATGGCTGACTAAAATTTTGAATCGGTTCAGAGCTAATTTACGCAGCTAAAAGCACAATGTAGCCTGTAGCCTTCCATTGCAAATTGTGTAGAAATTATTTCCAATTAATTTGCTAACTCACCGCTAGATGGCACTGTTTTAAAATTTTGCTTCTTACTAATGTTTTTTGCGAATGTTTGGATAGATGGATGTTTGTTAAAAGATATCACCAGAACGGTTCAACGGATATCGCTGAAATTTGGCATAGAATTAGAACATAGTCTGGAAGAACACATAGCCTACTATTTTTTTTAACACCGCGGTTGCGGAGTCGCGTTCGACAGCTAGTTTTAAAATAAATTGGTAAACTTACCTGAATGCTAAATTTTGTATAACTGCAAATGTATTTTCCAGTACAGTTGTTAGATTAAGATACATCAGGTTTTCGTTAGCTAAGCTTATCCATGATGACCATAACTCGATTACTTCTGTCAATAATATAGTGAAAGAGACCCTACTTAAGGTACGCGCCCATTGGGTCGCGCCGGACGCACCGCACGGTCTAAACGAATTTGCTTGGTCCTGATGGGATGCGGGCAGCTCCGATGATGGACGCAGCGCTATGTTAAATCATAAAAAGCAAAGTAAAATCCGTTGCGAGTCGTGCATGCTGATCGTACGACACGGGACAATGGGTGCGTACTTTTCGGGTTCTTTAACAAAAGAGCCTTAAAGGCCGATGCATAAGTGTTCTTTCCTGGTTACTTCTGCTCTTTATCCTTATATCCTATAAAGAGCTATTTCTCGATGTCCCAAGCGTCACGTCATTGTCGTGTTAGGTGTTGAAACGTAATACCTGAAAATATTTACTAATCAGGATACTATATATATAAGAAATAAAATACATAAATACGACTATAATTTAATATGTAAAAATTACAAGACAATAAAAACATATTTATCGTTAACATTTGAAATTAACGATCACCAATTACACGAATTAAATATTTAACATTAACCAAGTTATTTCGTTGCATTATTACGATGTTTTTTTTATTTTATTTATTAACTAAAATTGATTAAACAAAGTATAAAGTTAATGGCACTCATAGCCTAAAATATTTTTATAATACCCTGTTTACATTATTCCAGTCAAACTATTGAACAATAGAATAGATTTATGTGGCCAAAATGCACTTTTAATCCAACGTTTTGATTACTGTACTGGAATAATGTAAACTGGATATATATTGAATGCAAATATTATTTAATTATTTACATGTTGCATGCACTTAATTACGTTTAAAAGATTCAATTAACAATATTTAAGGATATATAAAAAAAACACAAACCTATCTATATTATACATTCTCTTAGATTCAATTATTAGTATTATAATATTACTGTTCTGTTTATTTTTGTACAAATCCTTATGTACAAATGGTCTGTATAGACGCTACCTACATTTGAGATTATAATTATGTACTTTAATATGAAAATATTTATAACATTTAGTTGACAGCAATGTCTGCAACTCCTTTTTGAATCTATATAATCGAAGCCATAAGTATTAAATAGATAATTAAGTTTATAAAACTAAGAATTAATTTATCGAAGTACCTGATCAAAATGAATCATCCACAAAGTTACTCTTCTTCTTCTTTTAGTTACTAGTGGACACAAAGTTACTCACAATAATGAATTCACTCTGTCAAAACACTGACAAATAACGGGATCATATTAAATATGTCGAATACATTTTTGAAACACAGATATAACCTTATAGATGGAATGTTTAATTTAAGTTTGACGTCTATTAAAGAATCGATTTTAGAAATGTCATTTTGTTTTTTTTTTATATTATAAGGTAGCTAGCGTGTGTGCGGCCAGCTGAAATCGCTGAAATAACGAAGCAACAGTTGCCCATAGATAATTGCAGATGCATTGCCTACTTCTAATCGACGGAGGAGGAGATGCATAGAATACTGAGATATACTGACGAATTTTCCATAACATAAAACCTTTTTTCGCGTCCCTTATGTGCTTCGGATTTGGTATCTATATGTTATAAATTTATGGTTAATGTTCTCTGCACATAGTTAAAATTTGTTGTGTGTGTAAAATTGTTTTAACCATACAAATTATGTTTTTAAAATCCATTGATAATTATATAGAGATGTGTCATTTTCAAAGCTTTGAGATTTGATCTTTGGCTTTCGAATGAATACTCGATATGGGAAGCGTATTTTGAAGTCTATTATTAATATATTTTATTAAATACCAATAACCAATTATAGTAACTATATTTTATAAATTGCTGATGTACTAAAATACAAATGAAGTACGCTTCAAAACTTTTTTTTATTATCTACCCGACATGACTACCTTACCCACCAAGGTACTGTTTCTACGTAGTACCTACTAAATTTATTTTGAATACAATGTTTGCAATCTTAGTTGTCTAGGCAACCTCTTAATGCATACGAGATTTCAGATTTTTTGGTCACAGAATAAGAAAATAATAAACACAGATTACACTAATAAAAATTTATCAAAATATTGTAAATTATCTTCAAACTTTTGGCCCTTTTGGCATCCACTTTTGCTCTTAATGAACAAGACAACGTTCGATACTGGAAACTACGATTGCGAAGATTGTCTACGGATTATTTAATAGTTTCCACTGTCGTAATATTTGTATTGGAACATTATTTTGTCTCTGTTTTTCTCAAAATAAAGAGAGGGATGACACGTTTTGTTACTTCATTTATGTTTTTGTACAAATATTACGACCGTGGACACAAAATGGAAGAAGCAATTAACATAGATATAATAATATATTCCATTTAGATAATATTTTAATGGAAAATCTTTGTATTTAACATTTTTCTCGACCTTTTCTTAAATAAATCGAAATGATATTTAAAAACCTTTCTTAACGTTGCTAAATTCTAACCCTCTAGTATTTCCGAGACTCTCTGTATAAAGTATATCGTCATCTGTCATTATTTTTGACAAAACACAGATAATGCCAGGATTTTGGACTCAGTAACCCACGGTAAGTGGGTTTTGTGACCAAAAACCGATGTTCTAATGCTAAGTAAGTAGGATTGTTTTTTGTTATCGTAACTCCTAAACCAAAACCTACATCAGTTTTTTTAAATGAGGGAAACGGACTCTGTTTTATTTTAAATGTTCCAACAGTTCACCTCCATATTAGTTATTTCGTTTATACGATCAATTTTGAAATCGATTAATTGCCTGTTAATAAAATTATCGATAATTACAGACTCAAATTAATGTGTAATTTGTAACTAGTTTGACGATCAATTAAGTGAGATTTATTCCGTTTTGAAATCGGTGATGTTCCAAACAATGTAGTTAGTTATTTTATCTGTTCAACATTTCACGATAAATACACTAATTGTTTACAACCAACGTAAAGGATAATATTTTAAACTAATGTATTTTAAGTACAGAATAAATTCTTAAAACCAACATGTATTCGTTGCATGAAATAATTCTAAAAAAACTTATTCATCATATCTCAATAAGTTAATAGATTTTTAAGGTTCACGGCAAATCGGACCAACGATTTAGAATCGTATATTCGAAAGTTGCCGCGTTCGTGACAAATCGATGTTTATAGGTATCGATTACGAATCGGCTATCGTAACTGTGTACAAAATTGTGTTTGCGGTTGACAAAATGGATACAGTACGAGCAGTCGATAGATAACGTTGCGATTGGGGTAAATTATACAGTTTTGGATCCGTAAATCGAACATGAATCGAGGTAAAGTGATTGTCATTTCCGGTGGACACGTGCTGCTTGACAGTCGCACGTCGACGCTCCCATGGCGTGGTGTTATCTGAAACCATAACAAGAAAGTGTTATATTAATAACGTCGAAAGTAACACGGGGCATCATTAAAAATGTGGAAAGTAATATGAAAAGGAAATGATATTTTTCGAATGATTAATTAAGTTAATATTTCACGTATTTTATAGAGTCGCTTTTGAATAAAACTCACATACGCAGAGTTTTAAATAATCCTACTAGATTTGGTTTTTTCTTACAATATCTACACTATAATAGTAAAGATATAAAAATTAAGTAACCTTACAAAGTAAAGAAATTATACATTGTATTTTCAAGCAATTTAAATTATTTGTTTTGCTAATAGAGTGGAGATAACTATATCATTTACCCTAGATTTCATGAGGAATATTTAGGATTTTAGAGGCCCCAACCTAGGCTTAAAATACCCAGAACAGACAGGACTTAGGTGTACGTAGCTTAGATTCCAGGGCCTCCACCGGCGCATTAGAAGATTGCCATTGATAGAGTTTTAGTAAGTAAAACCCCACTTAACCCTACTTCCCCCCAGAAGCAAGGTATATTTGTTAAGATTTCTGCCAAAAGTTTAAAAAAAAACAGTGTACCATACCTAGGACCGTGCCTGGATCTGATCATGTGCGGCGGCATTTCTCGGCGCTCCATCTCGTCTGGACCCAGTTGTAGACCTGCCACCAGTTGCATTATCTCCCGCTCCTTCTTCAGCTCTTCTCGACCTGTCTCCACCTGGAATTGATAAAGGTACTATATGAGTAAATTGACAAGAGAAACCAATGAAATTACAAGAACCAAAAGGGTCTAGACAGACAGATGGACGGACAACAAAGTGATCCTATAAGTGTTCCGTTTTTTCTTCTTTCGAGATACGGAACTGTAAAAAATGTTCGAAACGGTATCAAAAGCGATTGCTATTTGCAAATATTCTTTTGTTCATTTTTTTATAATTTCATAAATAAATACCACGCTAGGTGATACTTCGCTATCTTTTTTGATATAATAATACACAAAATAAATATTTTCGAATAAGTTCTTTAAGTATTTTAAAGTATCTTCTATGGTATTATATGAACAAAACAAGAAATCAAAATGTAATAATAAAATTGATAAAGGTTATATAAAATTTAGAATCTTAATTAATTCGTATTGATTATGCAGTCTCTAAATATCCCGATGACCTAGAAAAAAACAACTGTTATAATTCAATATCAGACGCGAGCTCAAAAACGAGATTGACGTCCTTTTAGGTTGTTATACAGAGTCGATATCAAACTAGTTTGTCGAATAAACTAATTCAGACAGAAAACAATCAAATCAATGTATTAGATTTTAAGTATATAGCAATACGTATAAGTATATAAAATACTAGTGGTACCCGCGACTCTGTCTGCATGGAATTAAAAAAATACTTAATAAATAGCCTATGTGTTATTCCAGAATATGTTCTATATATAATTTTATCGAGACCCGTTCAGCCGTTCTGTAGATACCTTCAAACAAACATCCATCCATCTAAACATTCGCATTTATATTATTAGTAACATTTTTATAAAAATAGATGTTGGCCGATTCTCAGACCTACTAAATATGCTTACAAAATTTCATGAGAATCAGTCAAGCTGTTTCGGAGGAGTATGGGAACGAAAATTGTGACACGAGAATTTTATATATAAGATATTAAAAGTCATAAGTTCTTTATGCGGCGCGCTGTTCAGGCGATGTAATTTGTTGACGTGAAACGCTATAGGTCAAATTACTCACCAGTGTAATGCAAGTCGAAATTCTTAGAATAACGTTAGGTCATTATATGAATTATGAAACCTTTAATAGTAAGTAATATCAAATAATTTGTCTTTAAACAATTTAAAGTATATAAATCAATCTAAATTACATTGTGCAATAAATATTAAAGCCCTAACATTAGTTACGATAAATCATTAAAGACTAATAAGTATGTAATAAGTAATTGCCAACAGTTGCTTGAGAATGTGTTCTTTTCGGTGCCATGACAAAACGCACGCGGTACTAATAAGCTCTTTCACGTACCCAAGTGTAGGACAAACCTCGGCCAGCACTCGCGACTAAACAGGATATGTTCTGGATATGACAGATTAGTTGAAAAACAAACTACAAATAATATAGATCTCTTTGGCACGAACTTTAACTCTTTCAAAAAAAATATTAAAAATTATTTCAGTATACTTAATCAATAGAATAATTACATAGATAAAAGATTTGTTACTATTTTATAGCAGCGTCGGTGGTTCAGTGGTCAAGCACTTGCAATCTGCAGGTCCTGGGTTCGAATCCCGCCATGTACCAATGTGTTTTTCGATTTCCGATTTACATATGTACATTTATCCGAAGTTCTTACGGTGAAGGAAAACATCGTGATGCAACCTGAACATATCTGAGAAGAAATTCAAAAGATATGTGTGAAGTCAACCAACCCGCACTTGGCCGGCGTGGTTGACTATGGCCTAATCACCCTTAACTTAGGGTAGGCTCCGAGCCCCTCGTTGGGGACGTATAGGGAGCTGATGATGATGACTATTTTATAATAATTTCCAAAACCTTAAAATACTACCTAAATAAATACCTCTGTAAACGTTATGTACACCAATATTTACATATGTATAAGATCTAATACTATTTAATTGATAAGTTGCGTGTTATATATATGTTGTGATTGTGCTTAAATAAATAAATAAATAAATTACTTTATAAAAGTTATGTTAGACTTCCGAATTCATTTCTTTGATCCAATAAAAAGCATAAAATCTCCAAATGATTATCATAACATGTCTTTTCTACGAATGTATCAATATTCCTTTAATCAAGTCAAATCTATACATATAAATAAAATCGGAGTATCTGTTTGTAATATTGAAATAACTGTATCTCTCTGTTTGTTCAGGTTAATCTCTGAAATGGCTGGACCGATTTTGACGAGACCTTTTATCGGTATGCAGCTGATGTAATAAGGAGTTATTTAGGCTACGTTTATGTTAGAAAAACTCTTTTATTTTAGAAAAGTAAAGTGATGTTGCAATGTCCAAGTTCTGTCCAGTACCGCGCGCAGCTTAAAGACAGTATTTCACGGGGACAAAGTCGCGGGCACAGATAGTTTAGAATAATACAGCGGAAATGATATATTGACAAATATTTGTGAACTAGTTACTAATGAATCTTAATGACATACATCGCGAGTTAAATTATGTACCAAAGTAAACGATTCTATAAGGAAGTGATAGAGGCGCGTTGCAATCGCGTCCGCATGTCGCGTCGTGTTGTGCAACATGTTACGTGTCTCAGTGAAGTGGCTAATTGAGTGCACGCCAATTTAACGTCTCGACGTTCCGTTAGAGTTCAGCTGCAGATGCGCACGCATACTGGTCTTCTTTAGCGTAGCCAAAAGCCTTTAGGATGTGGTTTTCATAACCTCGATATAAGTTAAAAATATATAATATTATATATATTATGAGTAAAGAGATTCAATTTTAGGAAGTGACCGGAAAAGAACAATCGGTTTATTTTTGACCCACAACTACGTCCGGTCAAAATTTAAAAAAAAATAATACGTGACCTATGGTTCTTCATGACTACTAATTCAACTTAGCCAAATTTAAACGAGATACGTTTATCAATTCTGGAGATAACTTCTTATAGGTTACAAATAACTAGATGATACAAGTAAAACAGTAATGATTATGGTAAAAAAGAAGAGAAGAGAAGGGTAAATAGAAGAGTAAGAGGAATATATCTTTCACAAATGTATAGATCTATTTATAACAGCCATCTATAAGTACCTTTAGTTTCCCAATCAAGACAACCCACGCCACCAAATTGTCATTAACAAATTACAAACATTGTAAAAAAAAAAACGAAATTTATAGAAAGTTGTGCTTAAATTTGTCATATTAACAACCATAGATAGTAATTACGACGGAATGCGTGGAGGAGCTGTTAAATTTAGCCACAATACACCATTAGCACAAGAAAGCGTTGAAAGTGAAGACGTCGTAATAACTGGGCGCAATGATTCATACAGAATTAACACACGGTTCAATGAACAAACTGAATAAACAATGATTTATAATCATGATAAAACTTTAATGAGAGGGATATCAACATCAGAAAATGTAAATCAGATAACAAAAATGGTAAGAATAGTCGTTGTCTAGTATAAATTCTTGGACTCTTCCAGTTTTATAAACTGATGCTGCTTACTGCTTTAAATCCCTTTGATACGGATTTATATATACATTAGCTGTCACCCGCAATTCTGTCTGCGCGGAATTAATAAGAAAATAATTCATAGACAATGTTTTCTTTAAATCTGTGTTCTGTGAGTCGTTCTAGAGACACCTTCATACAAATATCCATCCATCCATCAATTAGCATTTATAATATTAGTAAGATTGTTCTTACAACGATGCTGCGCTAATTGCTTCAAATCTCTCTGAACAATTCTAACAATCTGATCAACTGAACTGAAATTTGAACAATCTTTTTTTTTTTTAATATAAGCAGATTTTTTTGAAAATTTACTAATATTTCTTTTACCATTCCAACTAAGCTATAGGCTTGTGCTAGGATATGGTTTACGACAATAGTCGAATGGCGGGATTCGAACCCCCGACCTCGTGATCGGAAATCCGTATCCTTAACCATTAGGCTATTGACGTTTCTAATCTGAAATTGACATTTTCAATGTTATTACGAATTAGATGTATTGTAATTAACTCGCAGGGCCATCGGTGTTACCAAGTATTTTTAGTCATAGTTATTAAGTTTGATAACCCAGCACCGTGCTTCAAGTGACAAGGGAACTTTACTTAAGGTGGCCTACACTAGTGTGGAATGACTCTAATCTAACTGCCACACTTGAGTAGAACATGCTTAACGGATGCCGGAAGAGAGAGTAAGGAACTGTTAAACGACGAACGCCTCTTTTATAAAGATGTTTTAACCTACAATGACTGATTTTACTATTCGAGAAATCTTTAAATTAATTGTTTTTACTATTTGATTTTTTTTTTTGTTTTTTTTTTCGTTTTTTCTGTTGTTTTCCGACATGAAAATAATTGCATAACATATAGTCGTCCCTCTCATTATCTTTGACAAAACTGAGATAACAACATGTTAGGTTGATGGTCCACGAACAATTAGTAAATCGCCAGTGACAGTTGACAATTGCCTCCCGAATGTTATTACATCGCTCAAGTAAACACCTTTCAACAATGTTGTAGTTTCGTAAGATTTTGCTTCTATGCTTGTTATTGTATTGACTTAACACAATCGCGTATACCAACAAGAAATCGAACGTGTTTATGATTCCTTTGTATACTTACATTGTACCTACCTTACCCAACTATAAAATTCAGATTTTCATGCAAACATCCAAGCACAAAAATCGATAAAGGAACACTGAGAAAAACGTTTTTAATTCAGGAAACTTCGCACAATTTATTGTCTATTATAAAATAATGAATTAAACAAACAGAGCAAGTTATAATAACTTTATGAAACAACTATCTATAGCCCGCGACTCGGTCAGCGCGGAATGAAAAAGAGACTTAATTAGTAGCCTATGTTATGTGTTCTTCCAGACTATCTACATATATGACTAATTTTAGCGAGATCCATACAGTCGTTCTGGAGATAACGCAATCATAGGAATTCTTGTTTCATAACTGCAATACTGTGAATGAAGACATTCATGACGT